AAACTTTACGCACTCTAAATACTCTGGACTTATATACATACAGTTATATACAATTCATCATCATCTTCATTCCTATTTAATGACTTAAGCATCAGAGTTTCTACGTCGGCTCGTGAGCAAAGTAAATGACGTTCAACCAGGTGGAGGTCATTTGTACTACCAAACTCCATGATACATGTTACATTAAATAAATTGCATATTGCCATGTTTGCCTTAGATATTCTCCATGCACGTTCAGAATTAGAAAAATTGGGCTCTAATCCTTTTCGAGTCCTTGGCCGCCACATTCCATATTCCTACATATTCTAAGCGCGTACATCCATGGATAAAATAAAAAATTTAGAATATATATAATATATATTACGTATTTAAAAAAAATATTTAGAACTTCACAATAAAATAATAAAATATATAATTAATAATAAAATATCAGAAAATGAGTAAATAATAAGTGAAAAATAATAAAGTTAAATATTAATTTGCTTTGCTCGGTTAAAAACAAATTATAAAGAAACTAAAAGTTAAAATTCTAAATTTCTCGAACGACAAATTTGATTGCAAATTAAGTGTTTAGGTTTTCATCTTCTTACAATATTTAATGATATTTCAGATTAAAAACTCATTATGTTAAAATTATATTTGTCAATGTGATGTAACTGATTTTATTTGTGAACAAGGTATTAGTGATGCGATAATATCTTACCCATTTATGCATCAAAATAATCTTGAGTGGTGATATATGCAACCACTAAGTACCTCACCAACTATAATTGATATCGATAGTGAAGTTATGTTAGAAGTCCCTCGGTATATTCGGTGCTGCCCTTTGGAGCAGTGCAATCATGCCTCTATAGGTCCTTGATTTTCACACACACCCATATGAGTGTGTGTATGTGTATAAAACAAGGGTCTAGGGGCTGACTGCTCTGCCCTTTGAGGCAGCATCGCCTCTTCCGAAGTCCCTCTATGCATTGCAGATAGTACAGTACTTGGGCCTTGACATTTTCTTCAATCAAGATGGTGAAATTTCCTAAGCTTTATTGATTTGAAAGAGACGTTTTACTAGTAAAATAAATAATTAAAAATTGAATGAGTCAAGGTTCAATTAATGTGACATAAATTAGAGCCCATATTGCAAGTCCTATCCAAATCCCTTTTATATAATTCCCGAAAGTGTTGAGTGGAAGTGTTACGTTCACAAATTTCGAGATCATATGTGGTAAATTTTCATAATTTGTCATTTGGCTTGAATGGATTTTAATTTATTCTCAATCCAAAAATAACTAGATTTGGAATAAGCATAAATAAAATAGATACTTATCGTTCTTTTTTAGAACATTAATTGTGTTACATTTCCTATTCAAGACGTGAATTATAAGGCATACTTTTTTCCTCAGTCGTTTTTTTTCCTCATCTTTCTTTTAAAACTATGAAAACATTACTAATTAAATTATAAGTAGATGTAAATTTTAATAATTTTTTTTATTTACTATCAATTTTTTATACATAATATATCAAATTATTAACCATGCCTTAATTGACTCCAGCTTGACACATATATTTACATACAAAATAAATAAATAATTATATTTATCTTTATAATAAAAGTAAAATTACATATTAATATTAATTAAAAAATAATATTATTTAAATTATTTTAACCAAAAATTGTTAAATGATATAATTTTAAAGATTATTATAATATTAGAAAGAAACTCGTATAAGTGATGAGTGTTATTTTAAATATAACTACTAATATAGTTATACAAAAACGTATTTGAAAATTAAAGTATTTTTATTGTTATTTTAATTTTAAATATAAATTTCTTAACGAACAGTAGTATAATACATGTTAGTATATATACTGAAAGCTTGGCTTTAGATGTTATTTACGCTATTTATGTTGAATGAGAATTCATGTTTGATTAAACAAGTTCTAAGTGTTCTGTTGTTCCGTATTTAGATAAATGATTCATCATGGATGGACAGACATTTATCAGTGACTTGCGAAACCTAAAGAAATTGGTTCACAACCTAGATGAAAGCTGAACAAGTCATCCGAACGGTTATAGTGACAACGGTGCAGTTGGTCTTGATTAATTAGTTGCACTAGTACATTTGTGTATTGAACGAATCCCGGAGAGGAGCAGTTCATTTTATACTGATAGTCGTAAACAAACTGTGCCTCGGCTAACTACTGCGTTCTCTTAAACCGTAAGATATAAACAGACACATGTATGTATTAGTTACTATGATTCATCATTGCGAGGTTCATTATAAATGGATCAATAATTGGTTGAGTTGGGTAGTAGTTCTTCATGACATGGTGCGTTGTTACAATATTTACGGTCACCATGTACCTCGGTTTGATGATGTCTCCGAAGTGAGATCAGAAGGATTATTATGTTAAACCATGCAGGTAGATTAAGTACTGACATAATAATAATGCATTGAGTGGTACTAGCTTCGGCACAAGATATCAGTTGATTGCAGTATTCGAATCGATTGATGGATATTATGAGGATGATTGGATATAAAAATTTTTGGTTTTGTTTGGATTTTTTTGTTTGGTTTGGTTAATTTTGAAAAAGTTTGGTATGGTTAGTTGTTAGTGGGTATATTAAATAATATTTAAAATAAAATAATTAAAGTTGATTTGATGTAAAGTAGGTGAGAGAAAATTTGAAGTGATGGTTAGTTAAAATTATGTGAGTGGATGAATAGTGAATTAAGGTAAGGTGGTGTGTAAGAATGATTGATTGATATTATTTAATTATATTGATAATATTGATGATAATGGAGTTGAGTTAAAGTTGAGTTAAAAAAAGTGGTTGAGTTAAAAATGTTTGGATTTTTTGAAAAATTTTGTATCCAAACATGCTCTATATGTTAAACATTGGGAGGTCATTCGAATAATTATAAATCAGAGTTCAAATCGTAATTTTAAAATTAAATTGAGAGTTTCAATAATACTACTTTAGTGGAATGACTATATCATTCGTATATGAGCGGAGTAGGCTTAGCCCACAGTTGGGCCCATATACGAGAAGATCAATTTAATGTCTCATTAAGGTCCCTATTGTAGCCTATACATACACCCCTCCCTTAGTGTTTGAAAGACATCCCTAATGTTATCTACTCTTTTAAATCCACAACAATTTCATACACCCTCTATTAAAAATTATAATTACGTGGATAAAGTTATATCATGACAACTATAAACATTTAATTTATATATGTTGTCTAACTGAATTATTTTTAACAAATCTAAGTTGGAATGGGAGGCTTTATATATATATATATATATATATATATATATATATATATATATATATGCTAGAGTCAGTCCCGGTTTCAGGCAACGGTACGACCTGTATGCACATACTACTACTAATTTTCTCAACTTTATTCCGTTTTCTATCTTTTTTTAACAATAAAAACAATAACAAAGAAGTCATTTGTTGGGTGTATCAACATCTGTCGGAATGTAATTGAGTTGCTAAGAACAAAAGAGTCTTGTTATTGACGCTGGAGATACAGGCTAACAGAGATCATTAGGGTGCTATTAAGTCTTGTGCAGGTTGCGACTGTAACATTTTAAACACTACTAGTTTTGTCAACATCAAGAAAACTCTGAGATCATTTACCAATAAAAAAAAAAAGAAAAGATAACTCTGAGACCACCTGCAACCTTCATTTGGAGATGTGCATATAAAATTAATCAACACAATTAATAGACAAGTTTATGCGACAAGTAAATCTCTTTCACGGAAATGTGAATGATTCCACCAAATGTTGTATAACTCACATCCCATAATTTCCATTCCACTAAAGCAAATAATGAGAGAAAAAAAGATACTAAACCATGAAAATTACAAACTGGAACAACATTGTAAACCCATTTTCCTAGGCCTAGGATAGATGCAAACCATAGCAGAAGTGTACATAATAAATGAACATGTAAAAAGGATCAACACAAAGTTATAAATGTGAAAAATGGGTCGAAGTCATACATAAAACTGTTACACTGGGCAGTTTGCATTTTCTCACTTTTTGATCACCAAAAGAAGTGGTCTGAATTGTGGTCAAGAATTAATGCACAACTGCAGTCTTGTTTCTAACCTCTTAGCCAAGTGTTACGATAAGAGGAGTTGTCGCGCAGTGAAGCATCGTGCGGCTTGTATTCCATCACATAGCTATGGGGAAGCTTCAAGTGCCGCTTGATAGAATCCCTCAGCCCCATCACTGCCTGTTACAAAGAAAACACCAAAGTCCGCTTGTTACGTTTGTTCAACATATAAGAAAAAAAGGAAAAAGAAAATACAATGCACTTTCATCACGACATCCAAAAAATAGGAAACCTGATTATCAGATGCATTGCGGTTCCATACACTCAATATGTCCTCGTTAAACCGGATGCTCAGTACTGCACCGCAAACATTGTCTCCATACTCAAGTTGATCCCCAATTAATGCTAGGACCTACAAGTAAAATGTTGATGGAGTTTTGTAACACTACCTAAATGGCTAGCATGGGAAAATGGTATGAGCGTATCTGAAACTTATCGCTATCCACCTATAGAAGCAAGATCAAAGCACATAACTAGTAACTTAAAAAACAATGGACACGAGTACAACAACAACAACAACATACCCAATATATTCCCAACAGGTTGGGGTCTGGGGGTCAGTTGTACGCAGACCTTACCCTTGTAATTATACAAGGAGGCTGTTACCGTAACGACCCAATGTGCATTGCGCCGTTTGATATATATATATATATATATATATATATTTTGTAGAAACTTCACTAATAGAAGAAGCACTAGAATTTAATTGAGCCATTTTGATCTAGTCCATTACTAGCACTATGCCAAGAGAATTGTCAACAAATGGACACGAGTAAAACATAATAAAATACTAGACAAGCAGTAGGAAGTGAAGAAAGCTAGTAATAACGAAAAAACACACACACACAATAAATTTAATAATATTGTTTTTCCGGTACCAGATCCTCCCAAAAACGGCCAGAGACAGCCTTTTTAAATCTAATAATCCATTTCCCGCCATTGCAATTAGCAGAATCCTGGTGGAAAGAAAGAAATAAACGTTGAGTTTATTAGTTACATATGAAAATGAAGTGGAGAAAATATATAAAAGCACCATATGTAAAATACGTACCTCCCACAGAGGACGAATACCATCCTTAAACAAGTGCAAATCTGTTGGGCTTGGCAATGTGGAGGGGCGAGCCAAGTGACAATAGCATACCCAAAAAGCTTCCACCTGAGTCCAGCAGATATGAAATAATAATGCATCAGTTATATTATGGAAACTCATGCTGCAATGAAGACTAAGGCTACAGCAGAGACCATACATATGACAACCTTAATATACTCAAACTGAAAAGACAAAAAGCTTACGGTACTGAAGTCTACAATCTTTTTGATATTATCCTCGTATGATGTTTGAGTTCTGACTCCCGGAGTTCGCCGAGTGTACCAAAATACAAATTTGTGCTGAACATATAATATAATGATTAGCGAAATCAGATCATAATATCGTAAAGTAAGTATAAACTCTCAATAATCATTTGAGATAATGACATCAATTTCAACGCAAAATCATTTGATATAATTTCAGAAAAAATTGTACGATCTATGCCAAAAATAAACCAAAAATGCACGTAATATTGAATTTTTTTTCTTTTTAAGAGAAAATCAATTGACCACATACTAAAAGTAAGTATAGACACTTTCCGAAGCAATCTTCCGACCGTGAATATATAGAAATTCTTTGACTTCATTTTCTTATTAAGGACAGGAGAGATGCTTGAATGATTATAGTTATATGAATGATAGGTTAGCTTTAGTTTCTTTGAATTTGTCGAAATTAAAGACAATGTTTATAAGAAAATAAATCAGTTATGCAATCAGAAAACTAAGAAAAATTTAGTTAAGGAAATGATGAAGAATAGTTGAGGGTTATTGCTTTATTATTCGAGTAGCTAAAATACTTTCATCTGTAAGGACTCAATTACGAATCAAGAACAAATATTCACATACTTGTGCACGATGATACAATGTCGAAATGTTCTTCCATAAATCATTTTTAATTCGGCAATTACTATACTGAATAAGCGCTAGTGAGAAACATGCTAAAACACACCAATCTTAGAGTTGATAACATCATATTAAATGCTAGAAATAACAGAAATCACAACCTAAACACGAAAAAAAAGATATCATTGAAGAGATTTCATCACTCATACTTTATATAAGGATGAGAGGAAACTAACTTTGAGAGGGTGGAGGCCAGCCTTAAGATCGAGGGCGACACGTTCATTATCTTCATCCAAGATGGCTGGCTGCTGATTGCTATTGTTGTAATCATCTTCCCTTTTCCCTCCAATCGATTCCATATGTACCTCCGAAGCCCTAATAGCTTCTTCTATATAATCCAATTATATATAACTCAAAAGAATTACAACCAAGAAGGAAAAGCAATATGCATTCATGGCTTAAACGATTACAAAGGGCATTTATTGCTAACCAATAGCAGCTGGTGAGATCACCGGAAAAAATGAATAACGCATCTCCATCCAAGTTTGTTTCATCCATATTTAGGCGGCTCATATTAGAAATTAACCCTCAAATGGCCAAATTACATACGCTAATGGTCATATCACATAAACTGATAAACCCTAAAAGGCTAGAACAGAATAACAATGAACTCACCTAAGGAGATGTGGAGGACTGTGCAGCGGCCAAATCAAGGAGAAATCGGGTGGCGGAGGAGGAACACGGTGGCTGTGGTTTCGAAGGTGCGAGAAGGCTGAGAGAAGGAGAAAGAAATGGTGTTTTGTTTCCGTTTGTGTTGATATTTGCTCGTATTCTTGCGGGTGCGTGTCTGCTCACCAGAATGACTTTGTGGTGTTTTGTGGGCTTTTTACTCTTTTGTCTTATTTATGGGTCCAGCCCACTATATCTCGGTAACATTTGGTTCAAAATGTGAGCAGCTGAGCAGGACAATAATTATCTCTACAAACATTGCCCGTTCACTCTTTGTACATTTACGAATTTTACTTGAATTTTATCGGTTAAGTAGAGTTAATTTGAAAAAGATTGTATAGTTAGTTGTTAGTGAAGTTATAGATTTATATTAAAATAAAATAATTAAAATTTATTTAATGTAAAAATAGGCGAAGAATAATATGAAATGATGGTTAGTTAAAATTATATGAGTAGATGAATAGTGAATTAAAGTATATGTGATGTGTAAGAATAATTGAATGGTATTATTAATTATATTAATAATATTGAGAATATTGGAGTTAGATTATTTTGAGTCGAATTAAATTTTGAGTGAAAACTTTTGTAAAAAACTACACTACTACCATCAATGCATTCCTCCAAGAACCAACATGACCCGTATTCATACGCCTCAGAGCTGTCTCCAGGTGAGAAGTATGTGAGACTAAGCTTGAACCTTGAGCTTAGTACATTAATAAACATCATAATATTATGTAACAAAGTGATTGAAAAGGTAGCATGTGATGTGCAAAGGGAACATCCAAGACGTCAAATGTCTCACAAAACTCACCACCACACATCTTTCGCTTCTCTGCATTATATAACACAGCGATGTTCAAAAGAAAATGGTGCGTAAAGTATAATAATCAACTTCAGAAATAAAATTCCGAGTATATACAGAATCAGAATGCCCACTCCTCCCACATCGCCACTGTCCTTTAGAACCCGTTACAAACATACAAGAAAACCACCACCCATAAAAACTGGTAGTTTCTCTTTCCTTCCA